CAAATATGACATCAGTTTGACTGAATTATGAATTTCTAATGACGTAAATCAAGATTATTTCTACTCGCATCTGGGATATTGTATGATATGCATCATTTTAACCATTTTATTTATACTTGACAAAAAACGAAACGTATAGTTTTATTTATATAAAGCATGCCGATGGGAACCATGGGGACCATGGAAAAACCACGGAAAATGTGAGAAGAATGGATTGCCTCGGACACCTAACTGCGCTTATCCTGGAACTATAAGATGTTATCGTACCCGTGAGTGCAACTGTAGAAGAAAAAGACATGGTGGGACCGCATATTGCCACGGGCCATCAAAAGAATATGAAAACAAGCCGTGTTGCTATAAACACACATATACACCTCCGCATTATCCCCCATATCCTCCCCCGGATCATCCTCCAGATCACCCTCCTCCGGGTTATCCCCCAATTCTTCATCCAAGTGAGTATAATTTCACAATTTAGTTCAGTGTTAGTGTTTATTTTAAATTACACGATGAGGATAAAACTTTGATCGTTTACAAATAGACCTTAGATCGTATGTTCCATTTCGTAAATGTTATATCTTGTGGGAGATAAAAGTAAATTATTGGTAATATACTCGTGTACCTACGCAATGAACCAGATTGGGACTCGTAAATTATTAAACTGTGGTCAAATTCAATTTATATAAATTGCGTTGTGCAATCAAAAAATCCAGCCATAGTTGCCCAATTAAAATTTTGGATTTAGCTTAAATACATGGCAACACATTCTATATAAATAAAACAGTGTATGGTACTACTCCATGATAACTTACATCTCTGTTTGTGATGGTTTAATGGATAAACTAATCTTCATTTTATTGCTTTTCTGCTTTTCAGTGAAATGAACCAAGTTGAGAACTTCCGACTCCACGTGACATAATTACAAGACAGTATCTTTCGGAATCAATTCATATAGTTTATGTTCTAAATAAAGCAATAAAATACAGATCAATGCAAATGTAATTACGTAATTTCTTGTTTACTTGTATTTCTTGCTTACTAGCATTTCTTGTTAATGATTACTTGCATCCCTCCTTGTACTTATTTAAATCCATTAACTCTAGAGTCCTTGTCGGAAATGCTACATCTCTCTTTGAAATCTGAATGTTGTATATCGATAGGTAATGTCTCTGTCACATTTGATCTACGGCAAATGTACGGCGGCCAGAGCTTCCAAAATTCGAAAGAAATATGCAGCATAAAATATAGGAAATTTCTATATCGATTTTGTGAAGCTACAGTCGCCGTGCGCACGCCATGGAACAAATCTGACCGAGGCTTAATAGACCTTTCCAATAAACCATGCCATTTTTGGTAAATCAAATAATCTATGATATATTGGCTAGATTGATGATTAGTTGTCATTAGTCGAAGTTGGTTGAAATTTCTCCAATCAAAAAATAACTTTAGAGAAACCACATTAACTTATTGCTCATTTTGAAAAGCGAAACATATAATATCACCAATCTAGCCGATATTAATTGAATAGGTGCGGTTATGAACTGTCCGCGGGTGAGCGCATCGCATAATTCCCCCTAGGTATCATGAGAAAGAACATAAGCCCATGCGTTGCAAATTACGAGTGTAATTGTGAGTGTTAGTGCGCTCGGATAAGTTTTTTGTTGTTGAAAACATGTGACCATGTAATTTGCGCCTTCTGTTTTTTTTTGTTCAAAACAAGTAAAATTACCATTATAGTAAATGAACGGTGAAAAGTTGATACTGCGATTATAAAGGACGAGGTAGACAAATAAACCGAAAAACAACCAGAAGAGAAAATGTTTAGCCACGAAACATTGCTCAAATGTATCAAGAAAGCTCTTGGAAGACTGGAAAGTCCAACACCCTGTTTCTGAACTTGTTGGAATCGTATCCTCGTGAGATTGAGGCTGCCAACTAGAGCTGCTTGTGGAAAACATACGAAATCCGAAATACGGGCATCACTAAAAAATTGGAATTCCACCAATCTTCTGAAAGGTCCATCTGCAGTGTCAAGTGGTTTAGACAGTCATATCTTTCACCATGAGTGCTTTCTCGGTATAAATTCAGTGGATTTTAGTAAAACAATATGTTATATTTCAAGTGAAGTCTCCATGGTAGTAAAATATCAAGCCAACTCTCTGAAAAATTATGGATTAGGACCCCACCTTGTCACTTTTTAAAAATGTACGGCTTATTTTCTAAAAGAGGATCTTGTTTTTTTCTCAATTTGAATATATAAAAAGTTTCTTCTGCACTATATTACCAACTACTGAAAAGGGGATGGGTATTGAAATGTGATTAAGTTAAAAACACATTTCCCATGTTATTTTCCCATAGCAAACTCATGCTATCCATTGTTTTCAGCATGATTTTGGTCATGGAAAATTGATATCTTCAAAACTAGACTTTCAATACCATTCTACTTTTAAAGATGTTTCAGACCCCATGTTCAATAATCTTTTCATGCAATAAAAATCAGAAAAAATGAGATCCTCTTTTGAGTAAATAAGTTCAACATTTTGAAAAAAAATTGTTGACGTGGGGTCCCTATTTATAAATTTTCGAATTTTCTTCGATTGATATTTTTATCATCAGGAGGACTTCACTTGAAAGAAAAATATTGTTTTAGTAAAAACCACTGTATTTATGCCCCGAAAGTACTCATGGTGAAAGATATAACCGTCTAAAATCACTTGCCATAGTGCACGTGGACCTTCAGTGTATGTATGATCAGCAAATTAAATTCCCTTTAATATGATATATGTTAACCTTACGTTATTTCCAAATCAAAAAGTTAAGGGAAGAAAATACTAATATGACGCCCCGTATAATATTTGTTATTACGTTTAAAATACACTTACATTCTACATTGATTATCTTGTCGTATAATATTCGAGGGGTGGTCATATAGTTCTCTTAATATCTTTCTAATTTCTTGATTTTTCAATATATTCTGATGAACTTTTCCCAGAATGTGCAGGATAAAATGTCGAAAACATTAAGTATAACAAAAATATTAGTAAGATAAGTAATGGTTACCATAGTAACGAGAAATCATCACACAGGGGGCAAAAGAAACAACTTAGAGAATGACCCTTATTAACCATGTTTATATACATGATAAATTATCAAACATATTATGATATAGTGAGATAATGCAATAGCTTCAGAGATCTTCGGAAAAATATTATTTATACTGATAAAAGGTTACGGTAAGTTTGTATAATCCTTTGCGCAGACTAGAGATGATGTAAAACAAATATATTACAAAGATATCAACACAATTACACCCTGTGTTTGGTCTAAACATATTAAAATGAACTTTTCTCTGGTCATTTGACAAAACAGTTGTAGGGTCTAATATCACTTCGTATGAAGTATTACGATCAACTATTATGAGATCATATACGATGGGTGATCAATATGTAATGGACGCTTTTTTACATAGATGCTTTTTATATACGAATCTCTTTAATTTTTTCACCAGTGATATATCATTTAATTTTCTATCAACTCTGAAGATTTGGAGACAAAGCATGTCATATATTTTGATATATCTTTATTTATGTGCAAGGAGGTATATGTACCCCGGGACCGACATGACGTCACACATTCTGAAGCTATTTAGCTCATTTAACGTGCAATTCAGTTTAATGCAAGTTGAACAAAACGAACCATGATGGTTATGAATTGCACCATTTCGATTACGCCATAATTGATTTTGAATATTTTGTCATCACTTTGTGGCATTCATGCCACCTTCATTTTACATTGGTTCCATTAAGTGCTACACACTCCTCATTATCCTCTTAACCCAAGATTGAAAGACAGTGCATGGCCAAATCCATTCTCTGACATAGTAGCAAGCTGAAGTTACACAGCTGGTTCTATTTCATCAATGTCATTAAACCTGCACCCTTTCTCTACAGAAATAAGTAGTATAAAAATAAATAATTGCGTGGCCAGATCTGGACTAAAGGCTGCATGGTCAAGGGCTTCATGTTCAGGTCCAGGGATATTGTATCCTGCACAGTTTGAGATATTTTGGCAGGGGCATTGTACACATGGAGTATGGTGTGTTACCTCCTCTAACTAACCTCTTCTTCCACAGTGCATTCTCAAATCGACCTGCAAACCCCGACCATACAACACTTTGACATCACAATACTATAATCTTTTATGTGTTACCACAGGCAGCATGATATTCTAACAACATAACCCTTTTGGCATATCAAAAAGTTCAAATCTAACTGAAATGCCAAATTGGCATTACTTCAGAATATGTGACGTAAATGTCGGTCTCGGGGTACCTATACTGTCAAGAACACATAATACAATACTTAGAGGTTATGTCACTATGACGTGAAATATGCCTGAGTTCTCCCAATATAGGCCGACCTTGGGAGGCTCTATATTTGGGCAAGAACGAAGGCATATTTCACGTCATAGTGACATAACTGATGTATTACATGCCTTTGTTCCCATGGTTACTTTGTATCAATGACGTGACGTCATGATATTATCATGGTTATTAAAGAAATCTAATATCAAAACGAGGTAAGCGGGCTATATCGGGGTAATCGGGCAATATCGGTGGATATAGCTCGCTAACTTTCCCATTGACTTCCATACAAATGCTTCGCTAGGTATGTAATACAATACAATAGGACAATAACGTCATTTCAAAGGGCAATATAGTGAAATATTGGACCAAGGGCCGCAGGCCCAAGGTCCAATATTTCACTATTTTGCCCGCAGAAATGACGTTATCACTATTATTTCCACCGTTAATGCCAGGGCTGAAATAGCAAATTTGAAATAGAAAATCTTACGCACTGAACGATATCACTTTTCCCGGGAAACATAGCCGGGCGGATAATGTCATTATTGCCCGACTAAAGTCATTAACGCCCGACACAATATTGCTCACGTCAATATAGCAATTTAAATGCCTTCTCAACTAGTACTAAAACCCCTAGAACAGGCCCTGCAAGGTGGTAATAATACAATTTAATCTGTTTGAAAGCTTGTATAATAACTTATTATGAATTTAAAATTGGTAAGGGGGGGGATATTCTAGCCAGTTTTTTTATTTGCCACGGGTGCCTTGATTTCCAGTTACTGTGGCAACTATTTCTCATCTAATATTTTTGTTATACTAAATAGATTTTTGTTGGATTAATACGACATTCTTTGTTGCACATTCTGTGAAAATTTCATTAGAATATAGAATATATTGAACAATACAGCAATTAGAGATATGTTATGAGAACTTTATGATCATCCCTCGTATGTTTCTCCGAGTCTTTTTCTAAATGATTCCATTTCCGTCCACCGTAAGAGTCTAGAACATTTTAAGCGTTGTCATTTTTTAAATGTTAAATTTCATCTAGAATACATACTGGACACACCTTCTCAAAACTTTGCACTTTATACCTGTTTCAAATCATAACTATATTCAAAAAAACGCATCCATGTGAATGTATTACGTAAATTTGGTTTCATAAGAGGTTTAGAAGATCAATGGACAATTACAGGTTATATTGTTATAATTACTACAATTATTAGTTATAATTATCTTTATAATGTACAATTGTAATATACCCAGTAATATATATTTACACGATGCCGCGTACATATCAATGTATATTTATACATTATGTAAAGGTAATGCTGACGCGTATAAGAGTGAGAATGGTACAGGTATATGTTAACAGCATTTTCGTTCGAATGATCTTAACAGTTAAAAGGATATCGTCAGCAACTCATATAGGATTTATGATTCACAACAACACAAGAATTAAATTATATTACATTTATTTACTAAACTTTGGCTTGGGGTTCCCTGAAAGAAAGTCATTTGATTATACATTAATACTAACAGTGGTTAGGGCAATCCACCCCACCAAGTTATCTATCTTGATTTCAAATTCATATATGTTCTTTTGATTGATTGATTGAATGATTGAGTGATTGAATTTTTGATTGATTGGAATACTTGATTGAGAGCTTGTGTGATCCCGCGACGTGTCGCTTGATATGATGGACGAAGTTTTGGGTACAAGCTAGATTGGAGAATTGAAGCGACCAACTGCATATGTGTACTAGTGGTCGGGGGGTACAAGTATGCAAGTCTACCTCCAATAACACATTGAACGGAAGCCGAAGGCACACGAAAGCTACATCGTTGGCAGCAAACGTGGGTCGCATCGTTGGCAGCCGAAGCCAAAGGCAAACGTGAGCTGCATCGTTGGCAGAGCTGCGCTGTGATCCCTGAATTCCCTGTGATTCCCAACAATTGGTGGGAATGCACCAATTCATTGTTGGAACCCATGTACATCTTTGAATAGTGAAATGATGATAATCACAAGATGCACAATCGGCAGACAAACATGTCTTGTACTGATCTAAACCTAAATATCTGCCAATAGGCCTATCTCTTAAGATAAATGGCCAAACCATAGGCGTGACGGTACCAGCTTGGTGATAGAGGATCGCCTATGGGAACCCACAACGAAGGAAAGGCATACATCTTAACATTTTTAGAGGCATGCATTCGATATGAATACACTCCCCTCCATAATGGTGCTAACCTGTAGTCTCATTTATTGAAGCCTGTTTAGCGATTAAAAATATTTTTCAAAGTCATAAGATTTCGAACCAATGTACTTACCTAAGGAACAAAATTAAGATTCAAACAATAAAGGGATTTACTATGCTATTCAAAGAAAACTTTCGGTTACCAAACTTATGGAGGGGAGTGTTTATCAATTGCTCTCATTAGATGAAATGTTTTTTCGCAATACCCGTAGTCTTCCTCATCAGGTAAAGCCAACTGGTTAGCGAAAAACGTCATTGTTAGCCACCTAACGTGATGAACAATACTGATTCACTCTAAAAAAGCAATCCGAAAAATAGAAAATAAAAAAGCGTAAGAAATGAAACTAATATATCATTCCGTCACGTGAAAATCCTCTCAGCCAATTAAATTCGAGATATCGATATTTTAAAGAACCACAGGAGGTAAAGCATAAGTTTGCTTTGATTTTTAAAAGTAAATATTTATACTGTTCTGTTTAATCACCAAACATAACCAGGGGCTTTTGTTAATGCTGTCAATCGCTCTGTCTGAAACAATGACATAACAAATATATGTTTTTGCCTTTCAGTTCGCGCCCACTGTAACTACCATAAGATCAACAAAACGTCGACGCCTCAGTTGTCGTAAATCCTAAAACAAGCGAGTACCCCTGTGAAATATTGTCACATTATCGAAATGTTTTGTTTGATGTACGTGCTGTTTACCTGAACTATATCAACTCAATATCGTTATATAACTACTCCCCTGGGACACGTTCGTCATATTCAACATGTTGCAACTACGCGGAACCATCTCGGTGGCCGTTTTGGTCATAGTACTGGCGGTGTTAGGTAGGTTATTACTATGCTCTTATTATTTCCATCTCTTGAAAGCCAATAGTATTTCTTTATGTTTTTTTTAATAAAACTACTAATTAGAATATACCACTTTACACTTCAAGATAAAATGGCATGCTGATTATTTTAAACGGTTTAAGTTTGATTAAAGAAACGTGATCATCTTTTTAAGGCTTCGTTCTCTATCATGAACAACTTTAAGTTTGAATATATTGCTGTTTGCCTCATTCTCACTTGGTCATTCTTCAAATACAGCCATCTATCTAGTTACTCAATCTTTTATATTTGCTTTGGACGCAGAAAGATCGACGCCGGTTAAGAATTGCTCAAAACGATCTATTCTCTTTTCAATTGTGTGTGGAATAAGGACAGTACTTTAAAAGTTATTTGGTTTATGTTCCTGTGAACTCAAGGGGTTGGATTGGGAGATTTTTCCGCTATTGAAATCAAGATGTATGTCTTGTGAATGTCAAGAAAACCTCACAATCGATGCAGTGTGCATACCATATTATAGAGGGACAGGGTGAGCCGAAAAGGTAACCCAAAACAAATAATAGTTTTTCAGTCATTATAAATATGGCTCGAGTGTTTATAATTTGGCACAAATAAACGTTGTTCATTTTTTTAAAATTATTTAATGAAGTTCATTTGGTCTATTTCTAATGATCGCGATTTTACAATGGTAATTTTACAAAACATCCCATAAAAATGAAGTCGTGTCTGGAGGCCAATTGATCGTATCGGGCAGAATTTGTTCACTACACAACACATTTCGGCATTTGGAGCATGTTTTTTTGGAGATGGCCATGAAATCGTGACAATTAGAGAGAAACCAATGAAACTTAGTAGAAGACAAAAAACATTGAACAAGGTTTATCTTTGCTAATCCATGCTGAATGACTGAGTTGCCTTTCGGACTCATCCTGTTGTACATTTGCCCCGTTATAAAATTGTGAATTGTGTATAATTTCATGCCCGAACACAATTTTAATGTTAATTCATGTTTGGACTCGTTTCAAGCGCATTTCTGTGCATTTAAGAATTAATAAGTCTTTGGGATGAGGGTTGTTTACTTTGTAAGCATTAGGTAAGTTTACACATGAGAAAATTAAAAAAGCTAGTTGTGAAACGTTAATGATAAATTATTTGTGTTTAAAGTTTCCGAGGGATCTGCTGGACGTAAAAATAAGGGTACTACGTTTGGACCTTGTCGTAAATTGTGCAAGAAGGCAAAGTTTGGCAAACGTTGCAAAAATGTTTGCTATCTTAAACCGGTAGGTTATTTGATGTGTTTTGTCTGGACGAGTAGTTTATGTGCGTACGAAACAATTTAACCTCGAAATTGTGCCGTTTATTAAACTTGAACCCTCATATCACTAGATAAGAATAAAACACAAATACTAGTATCAAACTCAAAAATGTCTTCCCAGGAAAATTGGAGCTGAAAGTGCATATGACATTGAGTGAATAAGGATTGTGTACTGGGAGGTTTTTGTGTAAGGGGTTTATCTAGAGAGAGATCGATATGCATATGTATTTATATCATATATGCATCATATTATAGATTTGCATATATCAATGTCTGCATATCTACCCAAGGGACCTAAGGATATGTAGATATGCATCTTTTGATATATGCATATTTACCCGAGGGACCAAATGTAGATATGCAAATCTCCCGATAAATAAACCCCATTTCCAAAGCGATCGTACATATAAATGCTTTATCTTATACCCAGTAGAGTTTTCTAAAAAAATGTTTTTGATTTATTTTCAATTACCGGTATTCGGGAGATATGCCTGGGAGATATGGAGGTTCTATATATTACATTTTTAAAGTATTTTTATCATCATACGTTTAACGTTTACACATTGAAGTCCCGTTCTAAATTCTGCTTTACGGGGTCAGGAGAACCTTTTATATACACGTCATGTACTATTTCATCTGAGTGCCTGTGATCACCTAGGGTCGCAAATGTGGCAAAAGATGTCTTGAGGGCTGTTGGCGGGGAAAATTGAAAAAATTAGAAAATGAGCTCAGATTTTGCATGGCAAATTGTACCACTCCTCCTACACCCCCTCCTCCGGGTAAGTAAGGCTGATCTATTGTTTGCGATATTAATGCACATAATGAATAATGGCAAAGTAGAGAAACTGACTTCACTACCTCACTCCCTTCGGTCGTTCGAGGTACCGGAATGTTCGTGCCTAACCCTGTGGGGTGTATTCGACGATATTGCCCCTGCTCTTCGGTCTATATTTCTTAATTACATCACAAGTCCGTTGTTATTGAAAACTCGTGACTCCATGATATGCTCAACATTTCTGATACTCTCGGCAGATTCAGTTGCGTTTAACACGCGAAATAAACTATCATAACACTTGACGTCAGCGGGCAATAGCAATTTGAATTATTACACTCAGCAATATATCTTCCCTAGGGCCCGGTATTCAATACCTGATGAGGTTTGAAATAATAAGCATTTATACCATATTCATTTATTCAAGTCTTCCTGTTCTAGATTTTCTATAGATAGTAGTTCACCATCGGTAGCCAAGTAGTCATATGGTGTTCCGATATCTGAATGCGTTTTCTTCGTTGTATGCTCATTTGCAGTGATTTCTAAGAAATTATCAACATCATTTGTTTCAAATCTTACATTTTGCTATGTTCATTCGTTTGCCATTTTTGTGTTAGTTCAGTGCGGAAATACTTATGACGTGAATTCCCAGGGCGGGACATATAACCTAGACATGTACATGTATAGCCATTGTATGTCCCAGAGGACGGCTTATGCGGGACATACGATTTATATGTCCCGGATCCTCGTTCGAGCGGGACATACGAAAAATATTTCTGAATTTGTGACATCGTAGATCTGATGAGCGGGTGATGTATATATCGCCCGCTGATATCACCCGCTCACTTCAGATATCAATTATATTCCTGCATGTTATTTACCTATAACACTACTAAGTTTGGAACAATGCATATTATTGTTGAAATCAGCATTGATATAAATAATCGCTTTTTGTAGTTACCTGTGCTCGTCCTAACCCATACGCACCAGTATATGGAAGAATGGTCCTCAGCAGTGATACTGAGCCGTATTACCAAGGGGAAGTGCTTCGATTCGTATGTGACATAGGTTACTTTATGGTCGGGAAGAGCTATATCACATGTTTGAGTAATGGATATTGGGATAGTTCTGTCCCAACCTGCAGCAAGTCTTTTAATTTTTCAATCATTATTTCCCTTAACACTTTTTCCTTTGATCCGCTCATGCATTGTTTCCTTGATTTTGAAAAGTTTTTTGAAGTTGACTTATTTTAATCATAATATCTTATTTAAATAGATAGATACATAGTCAAATTGAACTACCAGATCGACAAACGTATATTGAAGAAATATATACATAAACAAATGATAGATAGATACATAGTCAAATAGAACTGTCAAATCGACAGACGTATATACAGGGTGATCATTAAGTTCTGGGAATTGGACTGTCATTTCAAGATTCCTCAACCATTTGAGCTGAAATTTTCAGCAGGTGTACATTGTATACTTCTGAATTGACAAGCAATGTTTCATATACATATCACATCTACAATTTATTTTATTGTAATTACAAAAAAAGTAAAAGTGGTCCGCGGGTCAGCAAATTTTTACTGATGTTAGTCTGAAAATGTCCTGCCAAAACATATTCATCTTGCCCAGATGGTTGCTTGAAACTACTTGTACTAGAGGCAGAAAAGTACTTTTGAAGTCATTTATTCAGAAGTATTCTCCATTGCTGAGAGGATCATTTCATTTATAATTGTTTCCATTCGCCTGGACTCACATGCGTTGTTGACATACTTAGTCCATAAAGATGTGTTCCAGTCCTCTATTTGGTATCCCTTGAAGATTTGCTCAAGTCGTTGAAATCAGTCTCTTATCGGAATCAAACTTAATGACCACTCATATAATGCTTTAGCACCCAAACTGAAGTGAAGCCTAATGGTGCTTCATCTGGTGAATATTGTCTGGTGAACTTGTGGGGCAGTAATAACTTGTGTGAACCCTAATTCTTCAAGAGTAGTATGGGCAGCTTGAGTAATGGGAAGGAGAATAGTCATAATAGAAGATAACTCCCCGCTATTTCGAGTCATGATTGTGACTTTGAGATGCTGATGAATGATACGAAAATAGAGCAAAGTACACTGTTATATAACAATACAGGTGTTTCTTTAGAAACTAAAGTTAGAAGTATTTGAAAATATGAAAAATCACAGAAATATGTCCACCAAATAGGTATTTATTAACTATTCTTTTGGATCAAGCAAAATATGAATTCATTTTTATTTTACTTGACCCGCTACACCATTTGTCATGTTGCTATGGTAACAATAATTATCCATTATTACATCAGATGGCAACGAGACTGTTTTATCCAACCCAAAATTACATTCCCCATTTGCCTTGAAAATTTCAAGTAAATTGGTTGAAAAATAATGAAATGACAGATAAATCCCCAGAACTTAGTGATCACCCTGTATATACATTAATCAAATGACAGACATGAACTTTCTTTACAGAGAAGCGATATCGTCCTCCACCCCCTCCAATACCACCGCCACCTCCAAGTGAGTTTATTACATTTCATAGTCATTAACATACTGTATAATTTTACACATATTTGTATTGGACCCGATTCATATTTTGAGGTCCGTTTCTAAAAGGTTACCCTTTTTATTTCTGTAGGTGCAGGAGGTAGAACATACCAAAGTCTATTGTCATTCACATTCGAATTATTCTGAATTTTAATATATTGGGAATATACACGATGTCTTCATAAACATGGTCAAGATAAAATTGAAAATTGAAAAAATCATACGCTATTACTTTATATAGTCTAACATATGAATTCATTGAGAACATCATATCACAGTTTCCTCATAGAGAAATGACGATGTTTTTCAAAAACACCAATACTGTATGAAGTATGTAATAAATATGTGATCGGCTGGGGGATGGTTTCCATTTCATTTCTTATCATAAACCACGCCATATATTATTCCTTTCTATCATCTCAATCTCTAAAGTTATGAAAATGTAACAAATACGGGACTTGTAAATAAATAAAATGCAACAAATTGAACTTTTACTCCATTGATATGTTTCTGTATATACAGTTTGTCATTGGGGACCTTGGGGCAGCTGCACACAGTATGGAGAGTGCGTTGGGAATGCACTTCCTCCGACGTCACAATGCCATAGACCTGGTACTATAACGTGTTACCAAACGCGCAAGTGTCTTTGTAAAGGGCATCCTCGCTTTGGAAATTGTATTGGATCTTCGAAAGAGTATAAATCAAATCCGTGCTGTTTGCCACCTACAGCTACTCCCCCACCTCCTCCCCCAACAAGTAAGTATAATTGTAATGCATAAGGATCTGCCATTTTGTTGATAATGCATAATAAACATAATACTCATCGGCCGGGCGCCGGTGCTGAAAATCGTAGCAAATGTGACCACGGCATTATCAAGCGTCTTATTCTCAATAACACAATTCACCCCGAAGTTATGGTTTTAAATTATTCTAATATTTCTAATTTAACCTCTTGGTAAGTTAGTAATAAAACGAAACCACATTGTATGCCACAAATATGTACAACTCGTCCACCAACTAGAGGTAAGTCAAACTGCAATACAAATAGCTTAGCTTGTTGTAATCAAACAATTTTACTAGATTTAGATTTATTTATGCTATCTTACCGTATGAGGGCCACATTTTACGATAATGAACAATCACCACTTCCAAAAGTTCAGTTTATCATGATATCGGGGATATAAAGTCAACGCGTGTCTGTTTTCCCGGCAAAACTGATTTCATTTTCAGAGCATACTTTTTTTAGTTATCGATATAGTACTGTCTTAACAAATGCATTTCAATCAATTTCTTAAATATGCAATGGATAATATTGCAGTGTTTTTTACAAGATTTTTTTTGTGAAGTTCAGTCAATCAAAAGTATTGATTATATCATTGAAATGCGTGCGAATGTAGAACTCGTAAATTTTTTCTTTCGTCCAGCCTTCGTAGTGGTTTGTAACAAAAATTAAATCTTACACATTATTGTTTTTTTTGTTTATATCGCAATCCAAAAAGGCGTGTTTTAAAGATTTACTTTCTTATATTTCAAAATTTGCTTAGAACTGTATTTGGAACTGTATGTTCAATTTCTTTCAGCTTGAACTCAAGTACTCAGAATATGTCAACCTAACTTACTTACTGATATATCAATGGACTACAGAACTGGCAGTCTATTTTGTTACTCAAATAAGACTTCTGTGAGATGGACGTTCTACTCAGAGTTAACACTTGCAATCACTTATTTGTCATACTCGTCTTTTAAATACTCCATAGTCGCATTAAGGCACATGCTTTATGGTATATCGCCTAGTAACATGCCCCTTTAGGAGCCTCATATTAATATGTGTAATCATCATGGAGGTAAATTCCCGGTGTAGTCCAGGGCCACCTACTTTTCAACAGGCGAGCCCGGGGAATTCTCTATTATTTTATAGTTTAACAGAGCCTGAACGCATGCACATTTTAATATAATATCGGGCATTTTAAAACAGTGATGTTATTCAAAAGCGAATAGGATAACTCATTCTCAGTCATCTGAAGTTTGAAAAATGAGAATACCTGGGTGTTAATCCATAGTTAATCCTTGAAAATGAGAATTTTTGGATTATATGAGGCAATCTTATAGTAAATAAAATGTTTTAAAGCGTATTGATGTTTTTTTGGGATGAAACACATAAGGAAAATGCTTAAAATATTCATTCTACAGACAACTCCCCCTTCTTTAAAGTAACATACTTGTGAACTTCGGGCACCTGCTCACCATATGGAATTTGTGTTCAGGTCAACGCTTTTAGTTATTTAGCTCTTTATAGTAAATTGTTTGTACAATGCATGTTATTGTTGAAATTGATATTGATTTAAATAATCGGTCTCGTAGTAACCTGTGCTCGTCCTAAACCATACGCACCAGTATATGGAAGAAGGGTCCTCGGCAGTGATACTGAGCCGTATTACCAAGGGGAAGTGATTCGATTCGTGTGTGACTTAGGTTACTATATGGTCGGGAAGAGCTATATCACATGTTTGAGTTATGGATATTGGGATGGTTCTGTCCCAACTTGCAGTAAGTTTTCTCTTTGTAAGTTTTCTTCGCCCATGTGTTGTTTCCTTGACATTGAAAAGTTTTATTGGAATTTGAATTATTTGAAATGCAAAATCGACAGACATATAATGGAGAAATTTATCAGGAAATTAATACATTAATCATATGATAGACATCTTTCTTTTCAGAGATGCGACATCCTATAACGTTACCACCACCGCCAAGTGAGTAAATTACAATTTATACTGAAACATAATCGCATTGTATCTTATTCATATTTTATGATCGAGGTACCGTTTCTTAAAAGATACCCTTTTATTTCAAAAGTGCAATATGGAGAAGAAATGTCCAATGTTTGAATAGACAAGATGGTCAATACAAAATTTAGAAAATTATTTTATGCAGCAGTGGTTTTAAGTCAAATATATAATTATCTAAAACATCATACTCAGCGTTTTCTTAAATGAAATATGAATTTACTGAAAATATCACATTTATATATCACCCCAACTTGGGCAAAATATTGAAAATAAGCGTTCTTTCATATTGCAACCGATTCCTCATATTAATACAAATATATGATTATAATAGCTTATAATGCTTTCAAGAAATGCTTAAAATTGCCAAAAGTATTGGTCATAGTAACAGCTCCCACTCCGTCAATATCTAATCAATTTATGTTTTCTTTACATGGAATGAAAGGTTGATGTTCATGCCGAATGTTAAAGTTAGGATCAATATGATACATACAGGATGACCAGAAAAAAAGGAGACCATTGAAATAGGCAATATCTCCTAAAATAGACTAGTGACATCAATGAAATTTTGCATACATCAGGACAGTTCTATGGAAATTTGTTCCTGAAAGTGTCAATACAAGCAGTCAACTGGTTCAGGAGCTATGATCATTTACATAACATGCTCCAAATAGGCGCAATTGAGACCAACGCAGAGCTGGATACATTTGGCAAATACCCTTACATATTCCGACCTTGTTATGGCATTACATTTAGCATTTATTGCCACCTTTAGGTCAGCAATTGTCTCAGGATTGTTTTGGTACACATTGTCTTTCAAATTGCCCCACAAAAAGAAATCAGGTGGATTCAAATTTGAGGTGTATGGAGACGAAGCTTATTTGACCTATGGCTTCTGACTCAGTGGTCCCACTCAGTTACAGTATCATCCTAAGGAGGCTTTGGGCAGCCCTTTGTTTTCATATGGGATTTAATTGTGCCATATAGTGGTTTTAGTAACATGGCACTATGCCCAATACCTAAAGTGACTCTTAAGATTTGGTAAATCAGCACTTTGGCAACAGGATGATGAACCACATGTCAGATAACCCTTCATTGCCATTACAGCCTAGACTTGAATCCTGCTGATTTCTTTTTGTATGGATATTTGAAAGACAATCTATACCAAAACAATCCTCAGACTATTGTTGACCTAAAGAAGGCAATCACTGCTATATGTAATGCCATAATAATGCCATAGAGGGCAGAACATGTAAGGGTAGTTTGCCATCCAACTCTGCGTTGGTCTCAATTGTGCCTATTTGGAGCATGTTATGTAAATGATCATAGCTCCTGAACCAGTTGAATGCTTGTATTGAAACCTTCAGTAACAAATTTCCATATAACTGTTCCAGTGTATGCAAAATTTCATTGATGGCACTTGTCTAGTTTAGGAGAAATTGATTACTTCAATGGTCTCCTTTTTTTCCGGTCACCCTGTACAAGGCAACTTTCTGTATTAAGGTTTTGAAAAGGTGTGAAAAACGTGAATAGTTATATTCAACCTTTAATTGAAAAAATACACACACGTTACACAAGAAGCAGCTAAACGTTTTATAAAAAGTTTTGTTGATTGGATCAAAGAAACTAAAAACGACTGATTGCAAAATGTGTGGAAACGTGAATTGAATAAAATTATCCTGTGTTATGACCGCTGTCTAATTTACTATCCATACAGTAATTCAACTTATTATTTTAAATAGATTCAATATTAAATAAGTGTTGAAAATGGAGAAACTACAGTACATGTTGATAAATACAAGTGTAAAATATTGCTTGTTTATAAATTTTAGTGTGTAACTGGGGGCCTTGGGGTACCTACACAGCATACGGACAGTGTGTGAGAAATAATTTAGCTTGGACGTCACATTGTCATGTACCTGGTACATCAACATGTTACCGAACCCGTCAATGCCTTTGTCAGAATTATCATGGCTTGAGGAATTGTATTGGATCTTCAAAAGAGTATAAAACAAAGCCGTGCTGTTTGCTATCTCCAACTTCTCCCCCAACACCACCACCTTCAAGTAAGCATAATTGTAAATGCATTGAAATATGCCTTTGCTTGATATCAAGCATATGCATATAGGATGTATTTCTTCATTATATAATAATCCAGCCCTGCATTCCTGGTTTTGAATACTTCTAATATACTTCTCTTTTGTCAAGATTTATGTTGCAAACGCATGTCCACCAAATAAGACACACGCATATAGACACGAAAGCACGAACACGCACGCATGAACATCAACATAAGACAGTATATAATATACAATTATTGACCTCTCCAGAGGTTTACTGTCAAAATTATATCCCGAGACTGTAAACCTCGACCTACGGTCTCGGTTTACAGTCTCGGGATATAATTTTGACAGTAAACCGAATGGAGAGGTCTATAATTGTTTTGTTAGTCCGAAGAATATCTTAGATTTTTCTGACCTTTTACCTTTTCCTGACTTCTGCAGTTCCACAACCATCGCTTTGAAAACATCGTTTGATGCCTTGAATTCAGACTTGGTAATGTCCATCTTAAGTGTCTCTCTGATGTATTCGTGCCACTCCCCATTTAAGAAGCTGAAATGATTTCAACTTATAAAGTCCACCGTCTTTTTTTCTAATACCAACGTAAAACTTTTTCAAAAAATTATCTACATCTGCCACGGCAGTAAGTTCACTCAATGGAGTCAAATGACTCTCCTGGGCGAAGTCCACTAAAAGCTTTGTACAAAGTTTTAGATTTTTCTTCGTATCTTGACTGTCTTTACTCTCTAAGAGACTAATAATATCCTCATCTTCAACATTTTTGAAACGGCTAGTGCTAGCGGCGGCCATTTTATCGTCTGATAATGACGTCATTTTAGTGGAATGCTGGGAATATTATTCACCGGCAATGCATTGCGCGGTGTACAGTTAAAATTATTCACCGCTCGTTGACCAATCAAAATCAAGTATTTCAACTGAGGTACTAACAATAGCACTTTTTCAAAGTAAGCTAATGAGTATATTTTACATCATTTATTAACCTATTATTCTATAGTCTGTAACTGGGGACATTGGGGTGCCTACACAGCATATGGACCGTGTGTTAGAAATAATTTAGCTTGGACGTCACATTGCCATGCACCTGGTGTATCAACATGTTACCGAACCCGTCAATGCCTTTGTCAGAATTATCATGGCTTGAGGAATTGTATTGGATCTTCAAAAGAGTATAAAACAAAGCCGTGCTGTTTGCTATCTCCAACTCCTCCCCCAACACCACCACCTTCAAGTAAGCATAATTGTAAATGCATTGAAATATGCCTTTGCTTGATTTCAAGCATATGCATATAGGATGTATTTCTTCAATAGTTGTTGTCTCCATAATGTCTGGAGAATTCAAACATGACCGTGCTCTATTTGAATTTCTAAACCAATCAGAATGCAGCATTGTCAATAATGAACGTTCATTATTTGTACATACAGGCTTGACCATGCTATATTCAATCTGCTCCCAGGAATCTAAGTACATTTATTGTGTTTTATTATGACGTCACACCTAGGAATGTCGAAAATACAGCAAGTTTGGTTATTTCATTGACCTAATACCCCAATTCTCTGAAAAACGTTTTCTTTTTATGTTAGAATCGGAATAAATAATGATAGCCATTCAATATGGTGAAATTCTACACTCGTTGGACAGAATGTCAGTACAAATGCACTCACCTTCGGTTCGTGCTTAGTGTACAACATTCTGTCCAATTCGTGCTGAATTTCACCGTTTTGAATGGCCTACCATTATAAATTTCTAAATAGAGAACGCTCATTATTGGCTATGCTGCATTCTGATTGGTTGAGAAATCAAATTATAGTATGGCCATGTTTGAATCCTTGATAGAGTAGTACATCCAACGAATTTGAGGAGAATGTGACTTGCTATAATTATATTGTATATGCAAAACAATGATGGCTTATAGTCCTCATACCTTATTATCCCACCGAACGAAGGTCGAGGGGGATATAGAGAAGCCGTCCGTCCGTTCGATCGTGCGTCCGTCCGGGTGATAACTCCAATACCGAATGACGTGGAGTTGCTGTTTTTCTAGTATTGGTTTTGAGACATGCAATCATCGTTTGCTTTAGCTTTAATAAGACTATATGGAAATTCGATCTCTCTTTAAGTTTACTTATTTTGATGTAAAGTACAGATCGTGGCTTCTATCATACGCATTAAAAATTCAATTCCCATTGGTGGCAATATTGCAATATGCCTTTATTTTAGAAGTTAATGTTTACCAACAAATGTTTTAATAGAACCACAGTGTGGTCATTGGGGAGAGTGGATGGATGTTCCTACTAAATGCGATCCACCAGCTGGTTGTGTGCCGATTCCGGGAAAACGTGAAGTGCATGATTCGATGAAGAAACGTGCGACTCAATGTACTATGACAAACTATGACTGTCAAGTTGTGAGACAATGTATACCATGCAGTGGAAAACGATGGGTTCAACAATGCAATGGCGTCTCCTACACAACGGTGAAGCGTTTATGCTGCGTCGCCATGACAACACCTCCACCGACAACAACAACAACAACAACAACAACTGGAACAACCAATGGTAACGAGTCTGCTCTTTTCATAGACAAACAATATGAAACATCACCATAATCTACAATGATACGGTTATGCCTTGTTCACATTTGCTCCAATTTTAACTATCGGCGCCCGGCCGATTGAGTATTTGTTCAAAATTGAATACAACATTGAGCAAAACACTCAATCGCCTGGGCGCCGGCCGATGGATCGGAGCAAATGTGACCCAGGCATAACTTGTATCAATTTTGAATGTTATTTTTGTATTTTTGTTTACCACAGATGAAGGTGAGTTATACCTTTTGGGTATATTCCGTATAAATACGGTCGTAATTAACGCGTGTAATATGGAAGTTAGATCCAAGATCCCATCCCTGTTCCCATTTTTCGTATTCTATTCTTAAGCCAAAACAACCCGATCTAGCTTTGAACTGAAGTTTTTGCCCATAGAAGTCGAAATCTGTGGTCAGGTAGTTTAGAATCCTTCAATGCAGATTTAAAATTATTAAACCTCTCTTGATCTGATATCTTGATAAAAGCCTGATACTAGTAAATTACCATATTATGCTTTTATGATTGTAGAATGTGTAGTTACATATTTAGAGAGTTTTTATAGTGCATTTCTAAATTTTAGCTTCTAAACGGATCTCTGTTTATTCGCTATAACTTAATAAAACCCCAAGGGAATTTGCTAAGTTTATAAACTCAAAACAAGAAGTCTCTTAATAACTGTTCAAAGTATTGAAAATAGGGGTTCTGCAACAGAACATAAAACCTAAACGAAAGGTCTTTAGAGTGATTGACAATGTGTGATATTGTCATAGATCGAGTATGCGACTTGACTATTTTAATCTTATATATTTATTTGATTATCGTTTTGAAACAGGCAGAAGTGGTTTTGACATAAGATTACGTGCACTTTTTTATATTTTTAAACAGTTTTGCGATTTTATAATTTTAAGTTGTATTTGTTTATGTTTATATAATGTTGGATATGTTCTGATTTTGTTTTAGGACCGTAAACCAAATAAGTCATGATCTGAAATCAAGACTTCGAGGAAAACATATTTCAATGTATCAGTAATAAACTAATAATGTAATAAATACCTTTTATTTTGGAAACAAAAATAATCATTTGTTGCATTGTCACACTACCCTACCTCGATCACGCATGCGCGAATTTTTTGGCTTTCAATCAGGTCGCTTTTGAGTATATCGACTGCTTACTCAAAAGGTTAATACGTTTGGTGCTCGGAGTAAGTCAACATTGCTATTCGCTACACTTCAGTGGTGCAATAGTGAAGTCGATGTTCCAGTTATATGATAGTTATAGAAAGAATGAAAATAATATCGTTTTAAATTTTAAAATATTTGATATGTCATAGTACACGGTACACAGTTGCAAAAGTTGATCAATACAGGGTACAAGGAATGTAAATTGTTCAATAGTACAGGGAGCGAAAAAGTAAGCTGATTATACAGACATACCATGTCCCGACCTCATGTACATTTACGTTGCAAACAGTGAAAGTAATGCTAAAAAGGCCGCCTGTTGATGCTTTGGGGTGTCATCAATTGTTATTTAATCCAAATAAAGTAAACATTATTTTGTAGATTTAGACACGGGCTTTCAGGTCGTATGACTTTTTAGTCATAAAATTAACAAGAACGCTAGATTATACGTGTTACTAGGGTATCAAATTGAAATAAAATAACGAAATTAAATATTAAGACGTTCATGATAAATGACTATCCGCTATCAGTATAAATGACTATCCGCTACTCAGAATAATTAAAATTGCCTGAACTACATGTGAAGAATCTTTCTATATAACCCCTTGAATGGTATAATTCACTACCGTCCTCAAAAACCGATCATTTAAAATGTTTTGTTCAAATTCACAAAAATACAGTTGAATAACATACTAGAAAACGTATCCACCTATAACACGATGACACGCAGTTTAAATAGTAGTTAACTGTTTTTTTGTTACATATCAATGTAACATTTTCGAAGGGAAACTTACATGCTCCCTGTACGTTGACAGATTTACTGAAATGTATCGTGTATTGCATTCGAGTTTTGCTTCACTGCGCCCACTATTATCTATCTTTGCCTGTAGTGTTTTTTTGCCAACAATATTCTACAAACTGCTTGATGAATCAATTCTATGTCTGGTAGAACACTAGAAATAAATGTAAAATGTATTTTACGTTCAGAAATATGGATTTAAACCCACGTCCTCCATTTGCAACTTAGCTGTACCCTGTTTCCATTTTAAACGTGGTCACGTGGTAGGGTAGTGTTATTGTATTTGTTTATCTATTTTTGATGAAAATATCTAGGTATTGTTGTGGCTAAGGTAAAAAAAATCCGAAAGACTCAATATCCCTAAAACAAAAAAGTCACTGGAAAATACTTAAAAGTATTTATTGAAGACTACATAACTACCCTACAAAAACTATTTTAAAAGACTTTTGAAATTAACGCATGGCAACTCATTGATTACAACCATGGATATGGAAATCAAGAGGAGCCAAGAGATACCATTAAACAGAATCAGATGTGATTTGTTCCTAGGCTCCCAGTTTCATGCTCACAGCTTACTACCGGGGATTCGCCTGTTTGTCTATGTGGCGTAGAATCTGAAACGTTGAGACATTTTTTCTTCAGATGTAACCTTAAAAAGCCAACCATGAAAACTTTGTTCGGTGAAGTCCATCATAATTTCCCAGAAATTAATTTTAAAGTTATGCCCCAACTTGAAAAAAATCATACCCTGCTCTATGGTTGCGACAGGATGAGCAAAGCAAAAAAAACATAGAATTGGTAAAACTATTCGCATCTCACCTCGAAACCATTAGTAATCAAAGAAAGAATACTATACGGCCTATTGAACAGCCCCCTTTTAGTCACACACATAAACAGGAAGTGTTGTATGTATATTTTATAGTGTATCTTTGATCTATTTATATTATTTATATCATGTGTCATTTTAATCTATATAAAGACATGGCTTGTAATGCCAGTGTGGCACAGCCATTGAAATAAATTTATAAATAAAAAAACAACTAAAAAAGCACTGAGATATCCTGCATAGTAGCAAAAAAGGTTGGAATAGTAATGTGGATACAGATAATAGATTTTGTTAACATTTGTTTCTCTCCTGCCATTGTTTTGATCTTAGTTCAGAGTTACTATTATAACATGTGATTTGTTTTCTGTCCTTTAAGTAAGAAGTGAACTAGTTTTTAAATTTTTACACTACCTCTCAAGCCATGAAAATCTAGCTTGTCAAGTAAAATTTGGTGGTCGACAGTGTCAAACGCTTTTGACAGGTCCAGAAATAGTCCAATATCAAAGTTATTATGATACTGTAGCTTGTTATAGTAATACTACTTCATCTGTAATGTGCAAATAAACTTATGGCAAACGAATCTAAATTTATCACGAGTAAAGCAATTAAATGCAACCAGCAAACAGCAGTCGCCAAGAAACAAAGGATCATGAATTAATATCATGAAAGCAAAACTTAATTTTAAGATACACATTTAAAAAAAACATTTTCTTTTTACAGCAATAATGGATTGGTCTTTATTAAGTAATCACATTTTAATGTAATTAGATATATTGATTATACTTGTTTCGCCTCGAACTGTTTCAGGTTTGTTGTCGGACCTGTGTCGTGTCAAGGTCATCTTAATCAATCCGCTGCAACAAAAAAACATCTAGAGAAGTTATCATAAAATTTAACGGTTTAGAAATTTCATTTTTATGGAATACTTGTCAACGTGAAAACGTTTATGTCATTAATCAACTTATTGTAAATATTTAACATAGGTATTGTTACATCCTTTAAAATTTAATTTTGTGTCCGAAATATTCTTACCGCAGCACATTAATATTTTTGTTTCGAATGGTTGTGGGGTAGTGCAGTCACCAGTGCTGCCATTACATTGCTCACATGACTTGCTCCGTGTGCAAGTTGTTTCCCTTTTTAAGACACAAGACTGTCGTTTTCGCTTTGTATCCTTCGGATAACCGGGGTGGTCAGGAATAATAGGACAAGACGATTCAGAACAAGAACCCCACTGTCCCCAATCGCCCCATCTTGGACAAGCCTGTGTAGTAATTGTAGTTGTAGTTGGTGTTACTGTTGTTGTTGATGTTGTAGTTGTTGTTGAAGTCGTTGTTGGCGTCAGGGTGGTTGTTGTCGGTGTGGTTCTTGTTGTTGTTGTTGGACCTACAAACAATCAGTTATTTCTATGAGTCAGCCCTGTGATTGTTCGGTCATGTATCATGTGACCAAAAATATCACAGGGTATTTAATTTGTGTGTAAAGAAAAAATACAGGTATTCAACAAGTGTACGTTACATGTTTATTTTATGTATTCCCAGGGAAACCACATAAGATATTTCTTCCTTTGGAAACTTTTTGTCGGACGTTTTATATAAACCAATTTTAGTTGAAATTAAACAGGATTTTAAATGGATTAATCAGTGATCATACTTAGAGACTACTCAGAGAAGGATTAGAACGAGTGAAGAGTATTTAAATGAGAGTGAAATCGACATTGCAAGTTGTTCCAAAGAAAATTTGAATAACATTTTGGTGAACTTATCTCAGTGCAACTACAAAATCAGGCTAATATTACAATATAACTTGTTCAGTGATATAATAAAACAAATATTGAATTCTTGTTTCATGCAATACCTGTATACATTTCTGAGGGGTGGGTTCCAATCGCCCTTCGGCTGCGTGGAATACACCCTCAGAAATAAATACACTCCGTAAAGAAAAAAAGATGCAAGGTTATATCCTTGTTATCATACCAAACATAAGAGGTACGGTGTATGTATACTTTGACATTGAGAATGAACTGAGAATGCCAAAGAATTTCGTAGATATGGTAAAACATTTACACGATATGCTTCGAAGAGTTTAGTAAAATTATACAAAATATTGAAAATTTTCTGATTGCCCATGCACCTTTTTAATTTTCTTTACAGAGGGTACAATTATTGCACTCAAAAGGATTGGTTATTTGTATCATATCGTATATTTGTATTTTAGGATTTGGTGTCACGTGTTTCTATGTGCCTATCACACATTCGCAGCCATTTGAATAGACATATAAGATAATGTTGACATCTCGTGTGTTATATTGATCAAACTTCTATGGTGAACTATACCCACTTTGTGAATTTAATGGCCTTTGATAATCGTGAACGTTTGTTACAATTTAAACTACCCTTGTGCCTCTTCTATAAGTCATAACAAATAATCAATCACCATACCTGGATTGCAGCAAGTGCGATTTTCTGTTTTGTATGACACTCCTACGCATCCCTGGTGCTTATATCCGTAGTAACATGGTGTACATTGCCTTACAAATTGACACGTGTATGTTACGATGACACATACGAACTGCCGCTTCTCTCTCATATTTTGGATTTGGCGTTTTCTACCTGTTGGATCCAATGGGGTACAACCTGCTGGTGGATCACATTTACCGGGAACAACCATCCACGGTCCCCATATGCCACAGCCATGCGCTAATATATAAACGTAGATTAATGCATTGACATGTTTAGATGGCCTTTAATTTTCCACAATTGTTTGCTAATAAATAAAAGCTTGATCAAGCACGCTCAATGGCTCAAATTAAATCGTTTGTGAGTAAACTAGCCCCGGGGGGAATAGCATATATTTCCAAAGATAGATTATGAGCAATGATTGCCATAGCCATGCTCAAATAAATTCACTATTACAGCCAATCATTTCTGGCCATCTCTTCTTTTTTAGTTTAAAGGTCAATGACACTCCTTATTTCGTTTACATTTTCGATGAATGTATCCACTGTATGTACAGTGATCGCTTATTATTTCAAGTACGTGAGTGTATTAACTTTGACTCGCCAACATCCGCAAAATTGAAAATGTCGGAGGAAAGGTATGTTTGTTTCTCTCTTCTTTACCACTGCTATATTATTTTACCTACAGAGGGTATTCCATATGCTATATAAGAGACTCAGGATTTATTTGGCAAAATGATTCAGTGATTGGCTTGACCAAAATGCCTGAATTGAGTTGATAAATGAAGCAAAATCAATAATCCGTCGAACGAAAATGTCTATTTCACCAAATTTTCTGTTTTTAGATCACCAAAACCAAAAACCAACATACCTATGGGTAATACACATAATACTTAACATTCATTCCAAACATAGCAGACGTTCCAACTTCCCTTCAATACCGAGTAAAAAGGATGTTATGAAAGATAATTATGGTCAGTGGAGTGTGAGAGTTTACCATGTGGATTTTAATAATATTATGTTCTTTGCATTTCAATATGGTGGGATTCACATGTTATTACTGTCCTTCTATACGAACTCCTAAATTCCCAAACCTTATAAACAACGTTGTAGAACATCATACTTTGGAATCAGAGGGTGAACTTTCTGTCCTAGTCTTATTATTTTATCATATATTGATTCAGGATTTTAATGAATGGGACATCATTTTATTCGGCCTTCACTATCCACTACCTATGAACTAGGTAAATAGAACCTGGCCAGTCAAGCTCTATCTTCATTCTCAAGACTTAAGTTTCTCCAACTTGGAATTCGAAGATGGTCAACCTCATAAGTTAGGGGTTTGATTGAGTAGACCAATGAAATAGTGCATATGGAATCAAACTACTAGTAAGCGAGTATGTTCGACAATACCCATTCGAAATACAATAGAACCTTTGTATGTAAGTTGAACGCCATTGGTTGTTTCAAAAATTGTTCCACTTAGGAGCTGTTCCAATTCACATATTTCGGCCATATCATAATAGAAATAAGACTCAATATTATTTACCGTATTTTCTATTGAGCTCTACTTCTGTACGTACTACAAATGATCTGGCGGAGTTCTGTTTTCTTATTACGGAGGTTCATTTACATGGAGAAAATGGGTCATAGGACTTATACTGTACAGATCATTAAAGGGCAATTGTATTTAAACCTTAAGACAAAAAACGAAACAAAATATACGCACACACAGTGACCATTTTATTTAATGAATCAGAGGACGGTGATTTTCCCCAAATAAATATCATATTTGGTTTCGGACATAAATTTTGCGAGAAACCCCCTTATTCCTATGGTCAAAATAATATTTCTGAGTGTCTTGTCTGCTGAAACTCAAACTATAGGCCGATACATTAATTTCTGTGTTCAAATATTTACTCCATGTTATTAAGAGGAAGGGAATTTTATCATGGTCAAATGGAAACCCAAGACCTAGCCTTAGTATAAGAAATTAAAGAGTGTAAAAATATTATTTTGTCTTTAATATCTTAAAACATTTTAAATAGAATAACCCAGTAGCCTGTAAAATAAACACAAATGAATCATTTAAAAATAACCATTACAATATATTTGAAATTTGCGGATCTTGTCGAGTCATTACTCACGGACTTGTGATATTAGGCGATCATTGTACATACGGTGATATCACTTATTTTTCTGCTCAAAAGGAAGATTTAGAAAACCTATACGCGTATGCATGAACACAGGTTCATGTCTAGGTTGTCCCTGCACATTATCCTCTCTAATATATTAAATAAACGCTTATGAACCTATGTATACCTATATACACCTGTGCCCCCATTTGCCATTTGAATGGTATGGACACACATAAACATTAATATGCATTTTTATATTAAGATGACACCACTTTGTAATGTGGTAATTAATAAACGCTGTATAGCTAATGGATGTATTTCTGTTCATTTAAGGTCGTAATAAGTATCGGATGTCCAATGTACATTTTGAGTGATATCATTTGTATCCATGAGTTAATATGAATATCTGTGCGAGTAAAATTACCGAATGAATACTTATTTTGATATCAATGAGTGAATTAAAATTATATAATGATGTCATGTTTAACCCACGATACCCACAACGAGATTCAATCTATATGTCCCTAAAACGACCAGTATGTAGACATACTTACAAGTAGAGTGTTACTTACGAGGTGGATGAGTCGGAGGGAGTGTAGAATATGGGTGGCTATAGCAGCATGCCTTCTGTGTATATTCTATTGACAGACCATTGCATTGATGATAGCCAGTGCACTGACAATGACGGGTTCTATGACATTCTGAAATTCCATGAATTCGACAATCCGTAGTAGCAGCTGAATGACTCATAACGCAAGTACCGTATACCCATTCAGTCCAATCTCCCCAGTAGCAGTCTAAAAACATAAAGATATATTGAAAGGATTTTTAAATGCAATGTCATTCAATGTAGCGACGACATTCTTACGAGTAAGTTGTTACTTACGATTTGGATGAGTCGGAGGGGTTGTATATGAGTGACTATAGCAGCATGCCTTGTGTTTATATTCTATTGAAAGACCAGTGCATTGATGATTAGCGGCCACACCACTTCCAATGCAATAACACTGACGGGTTCTATGACATTTTGAAATTCCATGAATTTGACAATCCGTAGTAGCAGCTGAATGACTCATAACGCAAGTACCGTATACCCATTCAGTCCAATCTCCCCAGTAGCAGTCTAAAAACATAATGATATATTTTGGGAATCTTAAATTCAATTGCATCAGGATACGTTCCGATTCGTTTAAATATTATATATAAGATTTTTGAGTGTTTTCTAAAGATATGTTTGATGTTAAGAGTACATAAATGTAGTGACGACATTACGAGTAAGTTGTTACTTACGAGGTGGATACATCGGAGGGTTTGTAGGATAATGGTGGCTATAGCAGCATGGTTTGTGTTTATATTCGATCGAAAGACCTGCGCATTGATGATAAGTTGCGACACCAGTTTGTTTTCCAGTGCAATGACAATGACGGGTTCTTTGACATTTTGAAATACCATGAATTCGACATGTCGCATCAGCAGGTAATTGGTTCCTAACACAAGTAACGTATACATATTCAGTCCAACCTCCCCAGTAGCAATCTAAAAGCATTATGTTATATTTTGAACATTTTTGAAATGTCATGAGTGTACTTTCCGATTCATCAAAACTTGAAAGGGAAAAATAATATCATTAGATAGGTGTGAAAAGTGTTCAGGACTTTTTTTTTTATATCTTTGCAACAAAGCGGCAACTTTGACCTCCAGAGGAAATACCCTTATCCTTAGCTCATGTCTATAGTGTATAAACATAGTTTTAATTAGGATGTGATGAGTCTGGCTTGTATTTGTATTGTATTGAATCATCCACTCTATTTGGAAATTGCCTTTAGGTATTTTTCAATATATACATAATTATATATTCTATATTCGATGTTATGTCGAATTAAGACAGTATTTTTGGTAATAATTGGAAAAATTGACCATCATATTCTAGGAATATTTTCACTAAACCATCAAATGTCATTCTCTATTTCTTTATAATCTAATTATAATGCGATCTCCTTAATTATAAGAAACAAGTAAACAAGTTTTTTGTTAAAACACTTTTGAACACAATGCATAAGACTAGAAAATGTTCGAATGATCCAACATTCTCATCCAAAAAATGCTAAAAGAGATACAACGTAAGTCAGAAACATTTTTTCAAAAGTTAAAATTTTAAAAAGTGTGAATTGAACAATTAAAATGGTCATACAATACGTCCAGAGCAAATAAAGTGATATACAGTGTATATGTTAGTCAAAGAACATTTATTCATAAAGTTGATCTACTGAAAAGTTAAAACTAGGTATATATATATTTGGGTCTATAAAACTGTGGGTGGAGGTGGGGAATGGGTTGAAATTTTTTATTGTCCACAGTATGAGTACTAAATTAATATATAAATGTCCATATGTATTGTTTATCGATAAATTAGTTCATCGGGCCAAGTAATATAATGTTTTTGTTATCATTGATGCTTAGTGAAAGGGTCTGGATATAGATAAATATAAATAATATTATAATTATATATTATAATATAATATTATAATCTATATTTCTGTTCACAAGTTGGGTCTAAAAATCTGGCCATTCTAGGTGGTACGTTCGTGGCGCCTAGCGCCTAACCAGATCCAGTTTTATAGACCAAACTTGTGAATAGAAATATAGATTATAATATTATTTACATCCAACACGAATATGTTTTGTTCAATTCACAACAAGCAGTTCTAGGGAGTATCACAAATATATATATAGTGTAGAGTTTGTAATCGTTTTATCTATTTTCGCTTGACCAAAGATACATTCTCAAAATTTATGTCATACCTAACTACGATATTGACTATCATTGTACTAGTGATACATGTAATTCGATTGATTACTCACTTATGACGGGAGGCGGGTAAGTTGGAGGAGGTGTAGGTGGCGGGGGCTCCCAGCACGGCTGAATATTACAAAACTGGGTTCTCACAACAACAGAGTCCGAGCCATAGCAATATGTGTCCCCAGTCTCTGTATAGCCATATAATTTAGTCCGTTTACGTGTCACTGTTAACATGCCACCCCCACAACTTGCAGAACATTGGCCATGTTTCTCCGCGCCATATTCGCTCCATCTACATTCTACATAAAATCAATATTTGATAAATGTTGATTTGAGTGTTAGTGCAGATTCTGTATTGGTTACATTTATTTGATCTAAACAATATCCTTTAAACAATTATGATATGCCGAACTGAGATTTTGTTTAGTATAGTTTTAGTGATGCAATTCGACTGGTTACTCACTTTTCCCTATAATGGGAGGCGGGGTAGTCGAAGGAGGTGGAGGCGGTGGAGGCCCCCAACATGGCTGAATATTACACAATTGGGTTCTCACAACAACAGTGTCAGAACCATAGCATTCTGGATCCCCGGTCTCTGCATAGCCATATAATTTAGTCCGTTTACGTGTCACTGTTAACATGCCACCCCCACAACTTGCAGAACATTGGCCAAGTTTCTCCGCGCCATATTCGCTCCATCTACATTCTACGTTAAATTAATATTTGAGAAATGTTGATTTGAGTGTTAGTGCAGATTCTGTATTGGTTACATTTATTTGATCTAAACAATATCCTTTAAACAATTATGATATGCTGAACTGAGATTTTGTTTAGTATAGTTTTAGTGATACGATTCGACTGCATGGTTACTCACTTTTCCCTATAATGGGAGGCGGGGTAGTTGGAGGAGGTGGAGGCGGTGGAGGCTCCCAACATGGCTGAATATTACACAATCGGGTTCTCACAACAACAGTGTCCGAACCATAGCAATATGTGTCCACAGTCTCTGCATAGCCATATATCTTAGTCCTTTTACGTGTCAATGTTGTTATGCCACCCCCACAACTTGCAGAACATGAGTCAATTTTCTCTTCGCCATATTCGCTCCATTTACATTCTATGTTAAATCAATATTGAATAAATGTTGATATAAGTCGCAGAACATAAGCCAAATTTCTCCTCGCCATATTCGCTCCATCTACATTCTACGTATATCGATATTGAATGATTGTTGATATAAGTTGCAGAACATAAGCCAAATTTCTCCTTTCGCTGCACCATTATTACTCAGTCTTCATTCTACGTTAAATATCTTAGCACAAGCGCCAAAAGGATGGAGACTAAAAACCTTTAAGAAACCCAGCGAGAAAAGCAGGCTCTAAGTTTAAACTTAAAAAAATATACTCTATATATGCCAGAACCATGATCTAATGTGAAAGAAATGGGGTGTAAAACCCCTCCCTTCCCCCAAACAAGAGTCAACATCACAATCCAGGACAATATTGGATAAAGAATGAATGGCTATAAACACCCCTGGGATAATATCTAGGATCAAATTGTAGTTAAAAGATGTATATTTTCAAGAAATAACAATAAAAAACATTCAAGATTACTGATATAAATATATTTTGGTTGATTTGGGAGGTATGTATCACTTCCTGTGAAAGTGTACATTTTTTATCAGTCTTAGAAAATGTCTCCAAAATGTATAAACCCCATTTGGCAGATGTCCTAATGTTTGATTGCGTCACTCTATACACTCATTGGATTGATATTTTGTACACATAAATAGTCATATTTAAATAATCATTGAATGGGGATTAGTTCTGTTTGCAATTGTGTTGACCTACTTATTTTTAGAGAGAGCAAGGTCATGATAAACTCCTGCTTTGTTCAAATAATGCCTGGTTCTTACTGAGAAAGTAATATGAAGTAAGGGAAAATGTACTTCTAAGGTACTTCTTGAGATATGTAAAAATCTAGGTAAGGAGAAAATAGAACTTTTAAGAAATTTTCAGCATGAAATAAAATGATGTCAACCACACAAGGCACAAGAAAGGACGTTTTGAGTATTCGTCATAAGGTATAATCAAAAGTGTGTTATATCCATCGTAAATTATGTGGATGCCATAGAAACTTAAAAGTCTGATGCTTTGATTGAAATATAAAGTTACGATTTCATATTGTGACATACAGTACTTACTTGGGGGTGGCCTTGGAGTTGCGGTCGGAGGAGGGGTAGGTGGAACTGGAATAGAAAGGAAACATCGACTATGTGTTTTCTGACTATATACAGCCCTTGATAAAATATCAAGTGAATATAAAAAGTAGAATTCCAATACAATTCAAACACTAGGCCGAATTGTTATGGATTAGTCATACCTAATGCTCGTTTCGTCCATATCATCAGTAAGATGACAATGTCAAAACTGTTTCAAATAATGAAGTAGTTTTGACGATTCTGAAGGAGTAGGAGGAATGTTTTCTATAGAACCTTAGAAGCAGGCGCAGAGTGACGATATGAAGCCGGTCTCTACTAATCCGAGGAGGAGCAGTAGGATGAGGACTATATAAGCGCAAATGACAAAGGGAAAGTGACTAAAAACTTTAAAGAAACCCAACAAGACAAGCAAACTGTAAGTGTCAATCTGTCATAAGAAAAGTAGACCATATATCCCAAAACCATGATCTAACGTGAAAAGAAACAACGTCTAACATCCCCCTTCCCCCTGGGGGGAGGTCAGAGGCCGACGTTATATGACTTCTCTGAAGCTGGGTTCTTATGGTTACTAAAAACCAATGCATAATTACCACGACAACAACCAGGATCAATTCTAGGATTGCACAATGTCATAGGCCCTGGTGATTCAAACATAAGAATAAAGAACTGCACTTTCAAATGTTTCAAATAAACTTTACTCACTTCTACATTTATCCATGCAATATTGGAGTTCACCGGGCATCGGTTTAGATTTTTTCATACAATTCTTCCAACACTTGTCGTCACATTTAGTTCCCTAAAAACAAGGAAACCAATGCATAGGGAAAATCCTTGTTTTAAAGCATTTGTTTTGTTGAACATAGCAAGGATATGTCACACCTTAATTAAAGAGCTGAACAAGTGAAGCAAAATTACAACAGACTATTCTTTTTAGAAGGGTCAAATGAGTTAATCTTCCATACTGAGTATGAGTAATTATAGAATTAAAGAGGTTATTTGATAGGGGTGATGGAATATTGATTATTTTCCGTTATTATTTTGTAGTTTGTCATTTTCATGTGAGATTTGACATCACACACTGATGATGACCTAGAATGATACAACTTGATTGTTATCATATATTAGTAACATTTTCAAATTATATTATATTTCACTAATTTTCATTTTTTTTAAATTTCGCGGCTATTCTGCGAATTTGTCATACAGGATCACTCTTTCGGCTTTGATATCAACCATGGTTGTTCCTTCAACCAATGGTTTTGCCTTTCGCGAATTTTTCAAAACTAACGAAAAGCTCAAAATATAGTAGCGCGCGAAAATTACCGGGAGTACAGTATATATGTACATAAATCTAATATAATTGTGCAAAAAACAAATTTATGACATGTTTCGAAATGATAAGATAGAATGCAATGTCGAATGTCTGTAATCGAATACAAAAGTGCATGTGACTTTTCAGAAATCCATGTTAAAAGTTTAAGTTAAATTAAGTATTATATTCTTGAGTAAAGTCCACCTGTGTAGCTCAGCGGTAGCGCATGTACCTCCTGCGCAATAGGTCCCGGATTTGATCCCCGGTTCAGGCAAGACTAAATTTGCTTGTTTGCGTGAAGTACTTCAGGGTGTTTGACTGAGTGGTCCGCAACTCGTACAAAAGGCTGTGATGTGTACGTATGTCTATGTATAAGTGCACATAAAAGAACACAGGGCTCCTTCAAGGAGGGGTTTCTGGGTCTATCTTCAAGGTTAATTACGTAAATTACGACCGTAGTAGCCTTGCCCAAGTCGGTATTTTTTTTACTTATCCGATCTTGAATTATTACCGCCTTGTACAATCCAATACATCTCCGCTGTTATTATGCTGAAATATTCAACGGTTTCGAGATTTCCGTAATACCCACGCTATCAGGGGTATCGCGAAACCTTATTGATTGACAGATATCGCGTGGACACGACGTGTGACTTCAGGCTGAATGACCAATCAAAACGTTATCAGGTTGAGCCGCATAAACAAAACAAACTTCACATCTACGACTTGAAATTCAATGATCTGATCGAGTGTTTCGTTAGACATACAATATATAATATTATGTAATTAAATGTACATTGGAAGGTAAGAGTCATTGATATAAATTAAATCATGCGATTCAATGTTGATTTAAAACTGATTTCGCTATGAAAATGCACGAAGACCTAGTCCAATTTAGCGGGTCATGTTGTCGTCGATCGGTGATCGAAGCCTACATGTTAGGCGATCGTTTCAACGTTTATTGTTGAAATCTTCTCACCTTTGGTTATCCGATCGATGCCCCGGCATCCACTAAACTCTCATTGATATTTATCTGATAAAATATTTGTATTTTTATGATGAATTCGTGCTCAGATTCGTGCAAGATTTGTTCGTGAAAAGTCCCGGTGAAAAGTGTACTTGTTTTTGACCCTGCATAATAATGAGCTAACGCTACAGGGCCGTCGTTGAATGGTCAAATTTTACCAACATCAACAAACTGTCGGTTAAGCACGTGGCTTTCTCTTTGGTACAAGGCGGTCATAATAGAAATCAAGATAAGTAAAAGAGACCGACTTGGGCAAGGCTACGACCGTAGATATACGGGATATATCCCGTGTTCAATATTAAGAAGACGAATTGTAATATAATACAATAAATAGCCATACCGGTTTCAGATTGCAGATTTTCTTGCAGCGTTTTCCATAATTGCATTTGGATTTGCAGGGCTTGCACATCTTTTTCTTGCCCTTTCCTCCACCCTTGCCAGCATAACTCTCAGAAACTATAATGCAATTACATTTTATATTTTCAATACTGATGTCACATATTGGTACACTATACTGTACTATTTAAATGAATCTTAATCAGTTAACAATTCATAACGAATCAATAGGAATATCAACTATTCAAAAACAATTTATCAGTTGAATTTAAAAAAAGGATATACCCTCTTTTCCAAAAAAATCTGTGCGTGGCCTTGCAATGCAGTACTGAGAAGCTGTCGTGCAAGACTTTTCGAATGACCCTTGTATTAAGGAGTCTGTGAATCTAATTAGAAAGTCTTAACAAGAAATAACTAAGTGAGAACGCCAGTTACCTTGATTCCTGTATATATTAAGCTATTTACCCATATAGCTTTAGTTGTATATATGTAAAGCAAAACTGACGACCATTTGGGAATTTTATTGCATTATTTGTCAAAATATTACTGAAGTAATTTTAAAAGTTCACCTTTATCAAAGTAAACATTTGAGAATATGTTTCAAAATATTACTGTAAAGCTGTAAAAGTAGATTCAACGTATCAATATTTCCATTCGTTCTTTCTTAGTATCAGTTATGTATAATTCTTTTTTAAAGAATATCGATATAACTTTTGGAACATAAAGACGATATATAATCATAAAAGCTGGGATTACTATTTTGTTCCAAGGTTAAAGTTTATATTTGGGCGAAATAAACTCATTTTGGTTATTTTCCAATTAAACATATTTTTAAATGTTAAGACTGACTTTTGGTAATATTTCTGAATTTGAATTTGTCATTCAGGTCTCTAAGATTCTTATCATGCTGATGAACAACAGACCAAAGAAAAGGTACATGTAACTAAAATAAACACCTAAATTAAAAGTAAATAGAAAGTGCACTACGAAGAAAAGCCATCGTTGGATGAATATCAAAGCTTTAACATAAACAATACACTAGTAAATATTAGAAAGAAATACCAGAGCGGTATTATCATTATTTCCAAGTGATTGTATTTTTACCATTTCATTAAAAGATATATTAACTCACCTAATAGTGCCAGTCCTATGACAAGGACAGCAATAAAGATGCGTCCAGTATGCATTGTGTCGAAAAAGCACAAATTGACGTGTTAGCAACTATACATAACAATACCGTTGCAATGTGTCAAATAGAGTATTTCATGCTTTTAATTCACAGCAACTGAAACAATTCAAAACTTTTGATATATTAGTCCTTAAACACACACAACCGAACAGATCGAAAAATTTATTTGACGGCCTATTTTTTCAACTAATTCAACTGAATAAAAGTATAAAATTGCCATTGTTATTGAATAATATATTATGCCCCGTTATAATGATTTACTAAAGAGCAACAGAGCATGCGCATGCGTCACCTCCTGTGCTTATGTGAAAATCGCCCGATCTCTATTTTGATTGGATGCAATTGTAATCACGTGTTGACGTTTTATATAAGATTATTGATTTGTTCATGTTTTTTCTTATTTCGCCATCTATTGGATAATCAGTCTTAAATTTCTAAATAGAGCGATATCACCATTTATTGCGCAGCTCTACCTGTATATGTCCACAAGTGTGATATTCTTATGAATCATTGCCAATACCTTATATTTCATATTAGTGTTTTAGTTGTCTTGTATTGTGATAATGGTACTTGAATGCTATGGGAAGGGGTATTAGAAATTGTTTATTTTCAAGTTTGATATGGGATACTAGTAGTTGTTTTCCTTATGAATGTTCTACTCTTTTATGCTTTTTTTACTTGCTGTGTTCTTTAATACTGGTAATGCTTATTGTTAGTCCATTCCCTTTTAACATTTGCATACATATTTGTAGCCGATCACACAAAAATGATCATGTCAAGTATCTTACAAAATTTCAAATTCAATTTACAATTAATCAATCATATTCATGAAAGTATCGACAACACAAAAACGACCATCCCAAGTATATTACAAAATTTTAATTTTACAATTAATTAATCTTATTCATAACTATATCAACTCATTCGTAAACACATGAATAAATTGACGAATTGCGACGTTCGTTACTATGACCGCTTCACAAAACAGGCAGCAAAAATATATGACTGCTGAAGATCCAAGATCCTGGGTTCAATCTAGCATGCAGTGACAGGAGCCAGCTTATGCTAAAAAGTACACCAGAGAAGTAGATTACTAGAGTGATACACTACCATACCTAACACCTAGAAATGCATAAGATACTTTGTTTGTCTAATTGGATTGTTTAGTATATTTTTTAAAGTACCTTATCAACATCTAACTTTCAACCGATAAACCATTAATAAGGAACAGACAAATAAAAACAAATATATAATCATTACTAATAAGCCAAATGGGTTGCTCATGAAAGCCAAATGCAAGGTATAGTAGTGTGTAACTCGATAAAAGGCCTATGCTGGCTTGAATTGTCGGTGGTCCTAGCGAGGATAAAGATACCAGCTCCTGTCAGATTAATACGGGGAGTTGTTTCTACCTTAGGGTATCATGTTACATTATCCTACAACACGTATATGCCCGTTTGAGATATGTAATTAACTCAAATGAAAATGAAAAAAAATTAGTATAATATATAATTTATGTCCCAAAAATGGAGCCGCTTGACAAGAATTTTCTCAGCAATGGATAAGCCGAATTCTTTGGAAATATTTAATGATGAACTATAGGGTATCATAATTATCCCGTCCTTTATTGTATGTGTGACTTCTAGTTCGGGTTGATTCCCCATAGACCACAATGTTCCAAAATTACAAAAAAATATATGAAATATCTTTTCTAGTATTGGACAGGTAACATTTTCTTTCACTGGACATAATTCAATTTGCATAACTATTAGATACATTAGGGTTATATGAAAATTGAACCACTAAAACAGATGTAATTTAATTTAAAGGGAACTTACCATGCTATCTGACCCGAACGAGTCACCTGATGATGAAACTGGTAACTACCTACTCGCAT